TGTATTTATTTCTTGACAGAAATGAATACAAATCTCTGCAAGGTATTATATGGCTTGCAATCAAATTTTGTATTTGTTACTACATTGTAACACACTATAATACAAAAAAAATTAAGAATAATTATTAGTAACTTATTAAATATCTTGGGGAACAAGTAACTCAAGCATTAAAGTTATTCAGGTGAGTAACTCAAACCCGGATAGTTACTCAGGTGAGTAACTCAAACCCTGATAGTTACTCAAGTGAGTAACTCAAACAGGATAGCAAACAAACCACCCATTCCATGGATTGTTTGCTATCATGATGTCACAATTTCATGAGTAACTCATTCAGATGAATGACTAACTCGGAAGAGTAACCTGCTCGGGTGATTAACTTGCTCAGATGAGTAACTTAGTAAGGTGAGATGATCAAGCAGCCTGATTTCACCCATCATCATATACAGTATTATATTGTCACTCTGAACAGCATATCAGATTGCCAGAGTAATTATCCTTATTTCCCTATACAGTACTCTAGTTCTAACTAGCATATTGAAGCTTCATGATCTAGCGAGTAAACACAGCAATAAACTAGTGATTAACACAAAGCACAGCCATGAACTAGCAACAGCAAGCACAGTCATAAATTACTGATTAATACGAAGCACAGCCATAAGCTAGTAGCAAGTAACATCAAGCAGAGAAAACAATCTTTCGAACTGTGTGTAGATTTCTAACACTGAATAAAAATGAAAAACTGCAACTACCCCTCCTGATATACGTAAATGACTTTTAAACCCTCTGTTGCCGTTATTGGCATTATTTGTGAAGCTATTTCAATTTTCTCAAATTACAAAAGAAAAGGCACAATACCTTGACTAAAACAATGCACAAAATAAGCAGCACATAGAAGAAAGAAACTTATGATGACATTTCGGTGTGACTTGAACTATTAACTAGTCACACACTAGTTAATGGTCCAAGTCAAAACAGAACATCATAAGTTTCTTTCTCCTATGTGCGGGTTATTTTGTATATTTCTCAAAATTATTTTGTATATCATGTCTAACTTTTAGCCAGACTGAAGTACAGCTAACCAATTTCCTTGAATCCAAACATTCATGAAGGAATTCAGGAAAAAATGGTCAGCCATACTGGAGTCCAGGAGGCCGGAAGGAGTGGGAACATTGCACTTCAGAGGGTCATTTGAACTGTGAACTGTGATAGTTGCACACCTCTGGAAACACAGCTATTGAATAAGTGATGGTCAATATTTTTCCTTCATTGGGTCACCCTACTTCGGTGGGACACAGCTAGGGTGCTAAAAAAATATACATAAATTTCAAGTTGTGAAATTATAAGTACAGCCTATCCTCACTTAGCGACCTACTCGTTTTACCAACGACTTGGACTTACAGTGGGCTCTCTGACTGGTATGCATACCTAAATAATGTACATTACAGCTGATTTCCGCTATTTTGTTTATCACAATATATATAACACTACTGCATAAACATTTAAAAACATACTAAAAATGTTATAAATGGTGAAAAGGTGACACTAAAACAATATCAGATGGATGACACAAACCCACTACCATTATAGTATGCTCCCTGTTTAGTGATGAATTCGTTTACCGACATGGTCTTAGGAGCAGAACTCCGTTGTTAAGTGAGGAGAGGCTGTAGTCAGAAAATTCACACACAACACCAAATATAGATGCTATCACTCCCAAAGAAAAATGGATTACATGGTTATTGCTCACATAAAATTTGGAACCTTTTTTCAGCAATGATTGATGAACAAAATAATACTAAGATGATGATTCAACCAATTACTCTCTCGTAAATTTCTAAGCAAATTTTGTGATCAGCAAGGATAAAAATCAACTCTATATAGTATCTTAAAAGCACCTATTAACTTACATTACACGTGCAATAGTAATGATGATGGAGGAACGTTCAATGCATGTGTGAAAGGCTAAATTCAAATAAATTAACAGCCGCCACGGAGCTGAACACCACGTGATCAAGACCCACATAAGGTGGGGGTTTTCCCTCATAAAGAAACAATAATTGCTACATACTCTCTTGGACTAGACTAATAAATATTATTTAAAAAAAATTGTAAAAAGCATTTTTACTTTATAAATGGATAATTAGACAAAGGCTGGCACAATACTTACCCTGTACTTTGTTAATAATGAAAAAAGGAATCCAAGTTAGTGGGATTAGTAGCAAGAAGCTGGATGGTTCTATTATAAAGTAATCTTTCAACTTTATTAAAATGCCTAGAAATCCAACAGTGGAGAGGTTACATAAATTAATTTGAAAACAAAATAAATCTAGAGGGCCGTATATGTGCAGAAATATTTTCTTTCAAAAGACTGATCAATATAAAATCAATTTTTTTGACCAGGAAAAAAAAGAAGAGATACAATTTTTTTAAATTTCTAATTACCAATTCCTTCATTTCCCAAGAATGAAAAGGCAGTTCCCAACAGAAAAAGAACATTTATATTGGTAAGGTCTCAGTCCAAAATTTTTGCATGTCAAACTTCTTAGAAAATGTACCATAGTTCATGAGGTGACCACTTTTTGAATTTCAATATTTCAGTTACAAATCCAAATTTTTGTTACAGATTTCATGTGTGTAGGAGACATTGGAAAATCTCATCAGAACAGGTCAAACATTAGACATATCAATTTAGTGGTACATTTTATGGCAAGATAAGATCTCTAAAGGTTCCTGAGCAACAGCTGTGTTATCTGAACACACAAGAAACCTCAAATTCATCAGAAGTTGCTTGAGTTATCTGAACAAGAAATACCTGGAGGATACCTGGAGAGAGAGTTTCTGGGGTCAATGCCCCCATGGCCCAGTCTGAGACCAGGTCTCATGGAGGATCAGGGTTTGATCAACCAGCTGTTACTGCTGGCCACATGTAAACTGATGTATGACCCACAGCCTGGCTGGTCAGGTACTGACTTTAGGTGCCTATCCAGCGCCTTCTTGAAGAGAGGCAGAGGTCTATTGGTAATCCCCCTCATGTATGCTGGGAGGCACTGTTCTATAGCTCTCAACCGAATGCAATTCAATTCATGCAACTAATTAACCAACATTCAAAATGGTAAACCAGCAAACAACATGAGCTTACATGGTAGTATTATGCTCACTGAGGAATTAACAGCTCTGTGCACTTTGGCAATAACTAATATTTACCATAAGTCAACTAATTATTTATTATGACACCTTCTATTAATCATGTTTCAGATTCCTTTAACTAAAAATACCTGTTGTAAAGAATAAAAAGGCACAATACCGTGACTGGAGAAATACACAAATAACCCGCACCTAGGAGAAAAACTCATGACAATGTTTCGGTCCAACTTGGCCCTTAACTAGTAATGTGATTAGTTAATGGTCCAAGTCAGACCAAAACGTCATCATAAGTTTCTTTCTCCTATGTGCAGGTTATCTGTGCATAATACCTGTTGTGGTAGGCAGGGAAGGTATTTTTGAATACTGCAGCAAACAGGGGGCTGAAGGCATAATGGAAATGTTATGTTTAAGATCAGTGTGGGATTTTAAATATTTTGCAATAAAATAAGGAGTGAAGAGATTAGGTGTGATGGTATGAAAATCATAATTCAAGAAGCAGCTGTTGAGATAAGAACATAAGAATGGAGGAACACTGGGGCAGGCCTACTAACCCTTATCTGGCAGATCCTTCTCGAACTGCACCTATCTCACCAACTTAATCTTAAAACTACTCAGAGTTACTTAAAACTACTCAGCTTACATAACCCTACTAACTCACACTCAGCACATCCATTCAAATTCAATTCCTCTTCCTCATGTATCTGTCAGGCCAATTTTTGAAGCTACCTAATGTTTTAGCTTCACTGACCCAACCTTGGGAGACTGTTCCATTCATTAATCACTATCAGTGAACCAGCATTTTCCCACATCCCTATCCAGTTTGAATCCATTACTTTGAGTTCTTTCTTGGTTGGACAGCCTCAGAACCCCAATTACACCTCCATTTATATTCGTCTTCCACTTATATACAATACTTCAAGCACATCACCCCTCGCTCTAGTGGCAGAACAAAAAAATTCTTTGCAAATGGAGGTAGCAAAAACTACAACCACTGGAAACTTGAAAAGACATTACAGTCAACTAAACCTGAAGACAGAACACCGTGAGCTTAGGTTTGCTCCTGCAACTACAAATAAATAATGGCAATTTAAAAAAAAAAAAAAGTATTAAGAATGATACAAAGTTATGGCTATGAGGGGGAGAATAGCAATGATACTAGCATTAGAGGCACTTCATGGATAAGTAATGTAGCAAAAAGCTGGATTACTTCCAGCGTACGATTTTCGAAGGTTGAGATCAGTCTTCTCAAATGCAGCAGAAACATTTCAAGTAAGGACAAATAATATTCAACAGAAAATAATAAACCCATTGGGGTCATACAGTGCCTAGGAAAGTGGAGGTTAATTAAGTGTAATCCAAGGGTCAAGGGTAGCTTCAATTCCTGGGATCAAGAGCCCCAAACCAGTAGTAGATGCAAAGTAACAAGATATGCTGTATGCATCAGTCTGTATTTACGTACTTAAATTTGCCCTCTTAATAAATAAGTACAGGTTTTGTCAAAATTATTGATTGGCATTTTCAAATAAAGACTGATAACTACATACAGAGAAAGGAAAAACTTCATAAATTATACCACAAAGATACTCCGATATCTGTGATGTACACCAGGTACTGAACTGCTCAGCTGATAAAATAAATGAATTTAAAATAATAGCAGAAGAATTTGGTAGCATAATATTTCCAAGGAGTACATTGGTAGTGGGAACCTCTAATTTGCAGATATTAAGTACATATGCAAATAATAATGTGACTGAATATGCCAGACTGAACTTCTCATACTCTTCTTGGGAATTCAATGCTATGGGTCATACACTGTTATGCTTCTAGGCATTTCAATGTAAGGAAAAGATACTGACTGATTGACTGGCTGTGTGTAGTGATGGAAGATTGAGAGGTTGGTGCCACACTCGTGGAAGTGGATTCTGTCCGAGACAGAGATGGCACCGAACTAGGAGGGATTCTTGGGGTTGCCCCCTCATTGCTGCCTACTTCATCACCACCACCACCAGCAGGGATGTTTCCACTATCAACACTACTTGGTCCGCCAGCACTCAGAATACCTGTGGCCTGCAGAATGTCAGCCAGAGCATTGTTGTTGCTCACACTGTTGTTCTCAGGGCTCAAATCCACCACAATGACATTGCCCTGAGATGTAGGTGTGCTCACAGGAACGACATTCGGGGCTCCAATGGTCCCCCGAGACAAAGGCAAAGGCTTCTGAAGTACAGTTGAGCTGGAACTTCCACTAAGGTTTTTTCCTATGGTGATTTTTGTGGGTACATCCTGAAGAACAAATTTTTTGCTTTATTTATTCCCTAGCCTTTAAATATTTATATGATTTTTTATTCCATACAGTATCAGCATTATCACTGTATTCATGGGAAAGCATTAAGCCCACATAGGTTATACAGCAACTGGAGAATGGGAGGGAAAGATTACAATGAGGGTAATACAGTACTAAATTTTGCAACTGAAACTGGAAATATAATAATTAGATGACAAAACTGTGAATACAATTACACTTGCACCTCACCCTGATTCCCTGAATATTCATGGGTCTCGTTCCAGGAGATGGGGCTCCTTTATGTACAACAATTACATTAGATTTTGTACCACTCAGCACTGGTCGAAGTCCGGCAGGACCCTGAGGTGTTACTCTTACTGTTTGTATTGTTTTTGAACCAACGGATACTACTGTTGCTGGAGCTGGAGCTCGGACTCCACTGACAGAAGCCTTTGGTGCATTTATGGTGTTCACTGTCACTACTCTAGGACCAGTTCCTGAAAATTTAAAACACATAAAATTACAGAGGCAAACACATTACCAAAAAATGGATTAACTTTTTTTTTTTTTTAACAAGCCAGCCGTTTCCTACCGAGGCAGGATGACTCAAAAAGAAAGAAAATAAACTTTCATCACCATTCAACACTTTCACCATCACTCATACATAATCAATGTCTTTGCTGAGGCACTCAGATACAACAGTTTAGATGTCCCTCCACACTGCCAATATCCCAAACCCACTTTGAAGTGCAGGCATCGTACTTCCCATTTCCAGGACTCAAATCTGGCTAACATATACTGTATAATTTTTTTTTTACCACAAGGGCAATCTCCTCCCCACCCCAAAAAAAAAAAAATCACCATCATTTATTTAATGTCTTGTCATAAATGGTGTGCTGACATCATAATTCAGATTATCTCCACCTGCACCATCCCTACCTCTTCTTCAAACTGCAGGCACTACCCTTCCCACACCCAGGACTCTTTAATAACCCTTTCAGGGTCCAAGGCCAAAATCTGAAGTCACGCACCAGTGTCCAAGAATTTTCAAAAAAAAAAAATTTTTATTTTTTCTTATGAAATCGTAGAGAATCTTTTTGTGAAGGTAATAAAACAAAAAGTATGAAATTTGGTGGAAAATAGACGAAATTATGCTCTCGCGAATTTTGATGTGTCAGCGATATTTACGAATCGGCGATTTTGCCGACTTTGACTCCCATTTTAGGCCAATTACATTATTCCAATCAACCAAATTCTTAGCTATTTCACTAGTATTACTTCTATTCTATCGATTGAGCACAAGAAATCGCCAAGTCAACTGTTTCAACTACAAAATAAAGTGATCGGAAATTGTTAATTTGGCCAATTTAACACAAAGTTCAAAATATTCCAATTTCAAAATAGGCTCCAGAATAAACAATGTAGGTATTCCTGGAACTAAACTAACATTTTTTCTGTTCATTAGTTACATTTTGAGGCTTTACAAATAAATTCCATTTTGATTTTTTATTCACATAATGAATTTTTATTCACACCAAAAAATAGAAGATTTACTGTTATGCAATACTGTAATAATTGTATAAATATCATCACCATATTTGTGAATGTATATTAGACCCACCAGCTGACGTGTATTAGATGTGTGAGGTCGTTTGTTTACTCTTGAATATCGGCAAAAATTTAACATTTCCGCTACTTTGAGCTCAGTTTCAAGCCATTTCCAGTGCTAAAACCAATCAAAATCATCTCTATTTCTGTAATATGTCTTCCATTCTATCAAATGAGACCAAGAAATCGCAAATACAATTATAAAAAACATACGAAAAAACACTGCAAAGTCGCTGTTTTAATCGAAAAATCATGATTTCAGTTTTTTTCTCTCATTATACACAGTGTGCTGCAGGATATGTTTTATGTGGTGCACACATACCACATAGATGTATTCTCTCATATCTAGGCCCAAATGTACCACTCACAGTTTATCAGAGTGAGCTGAGCTCATGGCGTAGATCTACGGTTTGGACACTCACCGTAAAGCCGTAGATCTACGGGACGGACCCTGAAAGGGTTAATTCCAGCTAACTGGTTTACCTGAATCCCTTCATAAATGTTACCATGTTCACATTTCAACAGAACAAAAATTAACCCTTTCAGGGTTTCGGCCGTACTAGTACAGCTTATGCACCAGGGTTTTTGACGTACTAGTACGCCTAAATTCTAGCGCCTCAAATCTAGTGAAAGCTGGTAGGCCTACATATGAAAGAATGGGTCTATGTGGTCAGTGTGCGCGGTATAAAAAAATCCTGCAGTGCACAGTGCGTAATGAGAAAAAAAACTTTGACCATGTTTTTGGATTAAAACAGCAACTTTGCACTGTATTTCTGTATGGTATTTATTGTTGTATTCTAGTTTTCCTGGTCTCGTTTTATAGAATGGAAGACATATTACAGAAATTGAGATGATTTTGACTGGTTTTACAAAGAAAAGTACCTTGAATTTGAGCTCAAAGTAGCAGAAATGTTAGATTTTTACCAAATTTCAAAAGTAAACAAATCATGTTATGCGTCCAAATACACGTCAACTGGTGAGTCTAATATTCTTTCAAAAGTGCGCTGATATTATTTATACCATTTCTACACCAATGCAGTAGCCTGTATAACAGTAAATCTTCTATTTTTTTGTGAGAATAAAAATTCAAAGTGGAAAGCAAAAGAATGTAAGAGGGGCATGGGGACGTGACTAATGAACAGAGGAAATGTTATTTTAGTGCCAGGAATGTCTTTCTTGTTTATTCTGGACCCTACTCAGAAATTGGCATCTTTTGAAATTTGTGTGAAATTGGCAAAATTGCTAAATTCTGACCACTGTATTGGATAGTTGAAATCAGTAAATGGGTGGTTTCTTGTACTCATTCGATAGAAAAAATGGAGTTCTAGCGGAATAGTTATGATTTTTGTCAACAAGTACACTGGAATTGGCCGAAAATAGAGCTCAAAGTGGGCAAAATCGCCAATGCGTAAACATCATTGAGACCACTAACTTCGCGAGAGCATAATTCCATAAGTTTTCCATCAAATTTCATACTTTTGGTGTCATTATGATCGGGAAAAGATTCTCTATCTTTTCATAAGAAAAAATAATTTTTTTTTTTTTGAAATTTGACCGACCCTGAGAAGTCTCTGAGAGGGCCTGTCGACCCTGAAAGGGTTAAAAACCTTTCGTCTCCATTCACTCCTATTTAACATGTTCACAAAATCCTACTGGATTCTCAAGGCCCTAAAACTTAATGCCTTATTTAGGGTGCCACATTAAGGTAGAAACACTGTATGGAACACAATTTAAGATTTTCTGATTTATGGCTCTAAAAATAATGAATTGCGATGCTACATTTTGATGCAAGTTTCACATCGCTCTGACATTTGTAAGGTCGGTTACAGCTAATTTAGTTCTTTTTGCATATTTGATTTCTAAAGTGTATATGAACCTAATTAAATCCAATGAAAATCTGGATATTTGTATCAAAAAACACATATTTTGTAAATAAACGTATAGAATCGGTGAGACAGTTCATGTGGCAAGCGGAGGAAGGGTTGCAGCCCTCACTGCTGAGCGAGTGTCCAGATAAGAGCTGGCCTCTTGCCAAATGATATATTTTCACATTTCAATCTTTTGTCTCTGCTATTTATTAATGAAATTGCATGTTTTTTCTTGTTTTTGTGTTCCAGAAATTAAGAATTGTTTCTTCTGTGACGTAATTTGCTCTTTTACATGACATTCATGATGAATTTTGACGCACAATTTTTTAAACTCTAAGCTCTACGTTTTTATTTTTACCCAATTTTAATATTGATTTCTTTTATGAAATCAACTCAGTGAAATGCAAATGTCATTCAATTAAAATGTGTGCATCCTATTTAACCCTTTCAGGGTTTCGGCCGTACTAGTACGGCTTACGCGCAGGGGTTTTTGATGTACTAGTAAGCATAAATTCTAGCGCCGTCAAATCTTGCGGGAAAAGGCTGGTAGGCCTAGATGTGATAGAATGGGTCTGTGTGGTGGGTGTGCGCAGTAGGAAAAAAATTTGGGACCCAGTGGTGCATTGTGGGAACACCATCTTTGTAAACAATGTCCACCATGCCTCGCGGTAAGAAGTTCCTCACTCCTTGGCGAATTGCGACACTTTTGTTCCCCAGTGACAGTTCTAATACAGATGGAAGTGCCAGTGAAGATGAGTTTCAAGGTTTTGGTGAGGTTTTGACCGGAACTAATGACCATAATATCGGTAATAGAAAGAAAAACCCAGACAACCCTCAGCCTTCCACCTCTGGTGCTGGGCCATCTTGTTCACGTTCAGTTGTACCAGAATCAAAGAGGAAACTCCTATTTTCCCAAATTCCAGACTCAGATGTGAGCATTTGTGATGATAGTGATAGTGAATATGAACTACAAGCTCTTCAAACTAGTTCCAGTAGTGATAGTGAAGTGGAATATTCCCCAGTGAAGCGTCAGTATATACGACGATATATGCGCTCTGGTAGTGTGCCATATGCTATTCCAAGGGAAAGGAGTACATCTCGGAGTACATCCCGTGGCTGTACAACAGGAACAGACAGTGAAAATGATGATAGTGTTGCAAATGGGATGGAAAATGTGCATGGTGGTGGCAGTGGTGGTGCCGGCCGTGAGGCACCAGCAGTGGACCATGCTGCCACCCACGCTGCCACCCACGCCGCTGCCTCAGCTGATCTACAACAAAGCTCACCATCCCCCACCCACCCACCACACCAGCCTCCACAACCACAACCTCCACAACCACAACCACAACCACCACAATCACCTGTCATTTTCCAGTACCCACCAGCAGACCGCACCTGGGATTGGCAGGAAGCTGTCAATTTTGTTCCAAATCCCCACCAGTTTGATGACAGCCAAAGTGGAATACGGCCATCCTGTACACTTGGGAACAATGCCAGTAAACTGGAATGTTTCAAGTTATTCTTTGACGAACCCCTGATGGAAAGTATTGTCATGGAAAGCAAAACATACTACGAGTACACCATGGCAAACACAATACTTTCACCAAAATCACGTCTACACCAGTGGAAGAAGACAACTGTGGCTGAGATGTATCTTTTCTTTGCCACAATAATGCTTATGCCACATGTGTATAAACACAGTGTGAAATCATACTGGTCAACAGACTGCCTGATTGCAACCCCAGGTTTCAGTGATATAATGCCAGTGAATCGATTTGTGCTAATGTTACGTATGCTTCACTTCTCAGACAAAACCAGGCCTGACAGACACGACAGGTTATATAAGATTAGGCATGTATTTGTGTATCTGAAAGAGAAATTCAATATGTATTTTTATCCCTTCAGGAAGCTTGTAATTGACGAGTCTTTGATTCTGTTCAAAGGAAGACTCTCTTTCAAGCAGTACATACCAAGCAAGAGAAAACGCTTTGGTATAAAGTTGTTTGTGCTTTGTAATTGTT